GTCTGTCCAGGCTGAGATGTATGGTTTCCATGTTGATGGAACATATTAGTTCATTGAAACAATTTGGAAAAAGAAGCGAAATGTTTTCCAGGGATCTCGACTTGGAAGGAAGGAAATAAGATTCCTCGGAGCACAATGCCAGCGTTAGGCAAAGTGAAACCTGTCGGAGTGGTGGACTCAGCCGTCACAGCTGTGCTTGTCTAACAATTATTGGCAATTATGAAACACAACCCAATTTAACCTCATTAAAAGGCAAATGAACTGTGAGTTCTCCAGTCGCACAAATACAGCTGACTTTATTCCAATCACTCCTGTGTCAACAGTGAAGCGTGTTACTGCCCAGACATGTTTACATTACTGTGTATTCAATGTAATTCAATGGCACACAATGGCTGTGGTCAGTTTTTGTGGTCAGCAGCAGAGAAAAAAAAGTTTTTCCTGAAGTAATTTTCCAGTAAAAGAGTATAAAAGTTTATTGTACGAACCAAAGGAAAAATTAAATGTAGTCGAAATTGAAAAAAAAAAAAAGGTTAGACTGTAGGTGGCAGAGTTGGAGATGTTAAGGTTTCCTTTGGTAGTGACCAGGAGTAAATGGGGTCACCGTATTAAGGTGATGTTTGTGAGAGGTTTGTTTGTCTGTCATCAGCTAGTTAACACCTCTATGCAGATGATGCAGCGATCTATACAGCTGCCAAGTCGCGAGGTGACTTTTGTGGTTTGTTGCTAGTCTCCTGCTAATGTTTAGTAAAAGAGTTTCAATGTGTTTCTCAAACAGAAAACCAAGTGTAACTACTGGGTTCAGAATATTTATATTTACAAAATTATGGTCTTTGGATTCAAGGTCTGTATGGATTATTCTGGATCTTTTAAATTAATAAATAAAATAAAAATAATAGAATTTATATAAATAAAAAACGGTTTTATATTGTATTGTAAATTATATTAAAGAAAACACTGAAATGTATTTGCCTTGCTCTGCCCAGCTTGTATTATTTCTACACCCCCCACTTTGAGAACCACTGCCCTTCTGTGAGGATCTTGAAAAGGAAAAGCTCAAAGTAAGAGTTCTAACATCAAAAAACACTTAACTAAAGTGAGAACTAATATTTTCCTAAGGCTTATGCTTCAACTGTGACTCCAAATGAAATAAAAGTGGTAGAAAGTAAGCAAAATAAACCAAACCTGTCTCAGACCTGAGAGCGGATCAAAGGACATCAGAGCATCAGTCTCAAAAGTCCACGCTTCCTCCTGCCCCGACAACCTCCCTGAAAAACTTTCCATGAAACACCACATCATTTACCGTTTCCATATCAGAGTTCCACTGCTCAGTTTTAAATCCAATCACAAACATTACACTTGGGAAACTCAAACTGGGCAACGCTCTAATCCAGACGACTCAAAAAGCTGTTTAACAGTGATGGAAAATCCTGCATGAACTTGGAAAAAGTGGGTTTCTCTGAGGGGGGAAAAAAAAACGGAAGTACAAACTGGGATGTCTGGACAGAGGCAGTTTTCCCTTCCCAAGTGTGTGCCACAGTCGTTCGTTCATTCATAATTTGACGGTTGCGTATTTGTTCCGTAACAGCGGAGGAATTAGCATCTGCTGGATGGTGACCTCCAACACGTGGCCTGTGTCCACCGCCGCTCACACTCACTACTTTCACCTTCTTCACCAAACAGTCCACAGTCAGACTAATCCGTTTCT